AACGCTTAAAGTCAATTCAACTGTCAGCCGTGATTTTTTTAAGAATCGACATTTTTTTGGTAACTGAGCTTGAAGAAAATGATGGAGGTGATAATGATAGTGATATGGACCTTGTTTTTGTCATATTAGGGACGATAATAACGAAAGTTATTCTTTGAATGCGATCGCAAGCAATAAGTAATGGGTATTTCAGCTGTGAGATGCGCATGGATCATAAACCGGTGATTAGCAATGACCATCAACAAAAAGGGACTTATGAAAATCCAGGTACGTTAGAGATATTATTTCACAAAATATTGAACAGTGACATTTTAGAACCAAGTAATCATAATAACTGATAAGATATCATTATTCTTTTGTAGCAGTTTACAGTTCGATGTACTAAACAAAATAGGGGTTAATTATCTGCGTAAGCACTTCTATATTACAATATAACGATTATGCTTACATATCTGTTTGTTTACAATTTGCTATGAATGGAACGTATTTCAGCTGAACGCTTAGTGCAGTTAGCAGAACGAAGCCAAGTGGAGTACACAGAAAGCGACGAATTGAAGTATTTCCAAGGCAAAATCGACTCAGCCATGAGGTTGAAAGGATGGCGGTTACAGGTTGCTTTTCGCATCATCACCACATAAATGACCGATGTCTGAGCAAGTTCACTGCCAAACTTACGACGAAAGCGACCAGTAAAACAGTGAAGCAAACAGTTCGGTTCGAAAACTTGGAAGGGAATTCAAATTTGTGTTTGTTACGGAACTTAAGCTGACACTGGCTCAAATACGATCACAATTCGTTTGACTTGTTCGAATAATCACCAATCAATTAATGAACAACCCTCTTCTTCGATCCTACAGATGGGTCCGTGCGCCAAGCAATTCTACGTTCCGTGTATATCGTGTTCGAAAGGTTATGAGAAACGAACAAACAATGATTACTGTCGTTTTGCAAACCGAATGCTGTTGGTGTATTTCTTCACATTTCTTCAGCTATTATTTTCTATTTCTTATAGCATATATCACACTATTTTTCCATATTATAATTTCCGCTTATCAGAAAATATATTAGTATATAGAGATTTTGTTGGTGAAAAGAATAACGAGTAAAATCAGGAGTATTACTAGTAGTGTAATGTTGATTCAAGCGGATTTTCAGGCGTTCATTGAAAGACGATAAAGTGGCGCGTCGTTTGACGGTACACACCGTTCGCACAGTATTCGATGCTGATGATATTGCAAAATCAGGGGTTAATGATGATGAGTACGTGCGTTGTGAACTCATGAAGAAAAGTACGTTTGATTCTGTCACTGAAACTTTAACTCATTATCAGATTTGCAGATGCGAGCTCAGAGCTCAAGAGTAATCGTCTTTGTTGCCTTGAGAATTGGAATCGAATCAGGATTACATCTGAGTGTAAATCATGCCTTTCTATTGCTGTTGTTGTTGTGATGTAGGCACAATTCTAGTTTGAGGTCAATCTGAAAACATACGGTATTTCTCTATCAGTCAGGCTCAGTGTAGACAATAAAATGTAAACGCGACGAGTCGTATGATGAATTGTTTCAAGGGAAACGTATGCTGTTGGATGCTCAAAAAGCCGCCTATATAGTGCAGTGCACAAAATCAACATTCCAAAAGTTTGTAAACCGTGAAAGGAATGTTATCGAGCAGAGTAATTCATTTGGTCAGTTCTAAATTTCCGCCATTCTATTTCACTTTTTTAAAACCTTCAAGCATTCTTGATATCAACTTGGAAGTACCATGGTTTTGACACTTGAAACTTAGCATGAGGATTGATCATAATTTTGCAGTCGTTGAGAATTGACCATAATTTCTCATATGTAAGATTTACTATACCAATATCGAGAAGTAATGAAGTAATGATAGGTGTTGAACAAGATTAATGTACGTGGCCTATTTCAGAAGAAGATGCGTATTTTTCGCATTCATTTGGTATAAAACAAGTATGCGACGTTTGTAATTTCTCAATTTTTGGTGCATATTTATGTTGTGAAACGTGTGGTCTTGAAATTTGTTCACATTGCTATGATGAGCTTAAAAGAGGTAATTTCTGCACTCATTATTTTTTCATTGTTGGTTTTCAGTTTTTTTTGTTTTTTATTTGTAATTCTGTTAATGTTAGTTCAGGTGAAGCTCTCTGCGTGTGGAGATACGTTCGATGTCGTCAAGGCGATCGTCATATACCGTCAAAATTCCATTTAGCTACAGTCAGGCTATCGTTTGGTAATCACATATTGAATGCTCGATTAAGCGCTTATAAATTGACATAGTTAATTTATTAAGGTTCGGATCTTATATCTGTTGTCAATGTTTACTATTATTTTAGATGAACTCAAGGAACTTTCACAAGAAATCGATAAACAGTTTCAACGATACGCTATCAAGCATGGTGCAGAATGTAACGGTAATCACGGAAGACGTCCTTTTCAAATGGTTTAGTTAAAACTTTAATATACAATGCTGTTTAAGTCATTGATACAAATATCACTTTCCGAATTTAGTTATTAATGAGCGCATTCAAGTAGGTTCGCATGATTAATCTCACCGTTGAGATTCTCTGGATTCAACGACCGGATCGAGTTTCAGAATTAGGTAATGCTGATTACACTTGATAGTAATGACAACAATAATTTATTCTCATTATTACGTCTTTCAGGAAAAATGTTACTGTCCAAATATCTCGGATAAAAATGCCGTCGAAATTGAACCACTTTGCATTATCGACGACCAGTCTGCGGTGAATTCGTACGCACGTTTCAAAGCGCACATGACCGCTCATAATCCGGTTTTGGTTCTGAATGTTCAAGATCATCCTGAATATCAGAGTGATTTATGGACAAAGGATGCTTTCAAGACTATTCTGTCAAGTTGGTGCCTTCATTGATCAGTATTGTTCTTGTCAGCAAACAGAGTGAATAACTAATCGAAGTTCAATTTGAGATGTAAAATGTCTGAGAATATTGGATAGTTCAACGTTCAAGGTAGCGAAAATGGCTGATGGCAAAAAAATTACATCGGAGAAATTTTGGGAGATGTTCGATGCGAAACACAGACCCGATGAGCCGTATCTGAAAGTGATTATTTTATAATTACTTTTTACCATCATCTTTTCATATTCCTTTAACTTTACAGTTCTTATGATGCTGTTGTATTGTGCGTCATGAAAAATAAGAGTGCGTGCTGATGATTGAAAACATAGTTATTATTATAACATTATACTATCGTATTTCTACATCTAATGTCTTATTTATGTTTTCCTTATTATCGTATAATATCTGTATTTATTGGAATANTCATTTGCCCTCGAATTGTTCGTTCGCTTTTCTATTTTTGTGCTATTCTCTTGTCCTTATCGCCAGTACTATTTCAATTTCCATTTTCAGGTGAAAGATTTCCCAGAATCAATGCGTTTCCACGAGATAGCACCATCACAGTTCGAGAATCTCTTCCAGTTCCTACCGTTCTTGGATTATACGCGCACTGTCTTAACAAACGACTACGATAAAGGACGTTTGAACATTCTGAACTTCATGAGTGGTTTTGCGGGTGCACCTGATCCAGGCCCGAAAGCTTATCTATGTTGTGGTAAGTGAACAAAAAACAAAAAGAATTTCTTTGTGCTTTTATGTGGGGTGATAAAGGTGGGGTTGTGCGCTTTTAAATGAATTCGATTCAATTATCTCCGTTGTTTTGTGCAGGTCTTTGCGACGCACCTGAATTGTCCTCAACACCGTTACATTTGGATGTTTCGAATGCGGTGAATTTCTTGCCAATCGTACAAGCACCCATTGATATGTCGTATGAAGAAATTTCTGAAGGTATCATTCGCGCTCAATTACTTTAGTGATAATTTTATTGCGTTGAAATTGATACGATGCAATTGCTGACGTAATTTAAAATCTCGTTCGCTTTGGTTGATCTCATTCAATTGTATTGTCCATAATTTATAATTTTGACGATTCGTATCATTTAATGCAGCATTTTTATAACTGAAAGTAAAGAAATGACAGAGGAATTTTTATCAAGAGTTAGAGAAGAAAGAAGAATGAGAAGGCATAGAAAATAATCGTAATTATTTATATTTTCTCATTTCTCACTGTTTTGTTCTTTTTTTAACAGCNCAGCGGTGGAAAAACGTTTGAGAAAAGAAAAGATTGACGATGCAGAAATAAAACGTGTAATGAAGAAACCAGACAAAGCTGGTGCCATCTGGAAAATATTTCATCCGAACGATAACGAGAAGATTCGGGATGCGATTCGAGAAATTCAACGAGAAGAGGTTCGTATCAATGTGATTCGATTGTTTTATTTGCGATCGATATTCCTCATAAACGCTGCGCTTTGAACAGTCTCAATTGTCTCAATTATATGTTGATAAAAGCAGTGAAGTGAATGATTTTATTCAACTTCGAAACTTTCAGGGTTATAGAAGGGAATCTGGTGATGTGATTCATAATCAAAATGTAATAGTGACTTCAGAGATGGTGGATGCGTTTAGACAAAAAGGTTTGATTAATGTAGACAATGAATGTTGCGATTGCAATGTGATATTGTTAAAGGTTAAAATAATGATGGTGATTTGAAGGAATCGCTTGCCGAGTGTTCGTTCAGTGTGAAGGCGAAGTGGTGTTTGTGCCCTCTGGCGCAGCACATCAAGTACAGAACATTCATTCTTGTGTTAAGGTGAGCTGATAAATGCTTTATTGAGTTGATCAGTGCGAAGGAAGTAAAGAAATGGAAATGATTCTCAAGGATTTGAGGTTGAGAGTACCGGAGGAAACCTTTATGAACGTTGCAGTTAGTAGATAATGTCACCTTTCTCAGCTGATTGATTCGATGCAACGATTGATTTTTGTGTGAATGAATTAGATAGTGAAAGTTTTCGTTATAACTAATCCGAATATGAAGTTGAAGTTGGCTGAAGATTTCGTGGCACCCGAAGGTATTGAACATATCTGGCGTATCAGTGAAGAGTTACGTAGCTATAAATGTAAAGATGATCTTATACAGGTACGATTATATTTACATCGATACGAACAAAATGGCTGACAATGAGTGAAATTTAAATAATTATGTGGAAATTTCTTCAATATGAATGATGCAGACGTTGTTGAATGTTACAAAATGAATGAACGCATAGTAGATAACAGTAATAATGGTGATGACATTCAATACAATACCTGAAAACGCCATTATCAAAAGTTGTCTTCCAGGTCGATAAGATGTTATATCGTGCAATGCGTTGGTGTGCATCCATCTTAGCCTGTGAGCATCCTGGTCGAACTACCTCATCATTAGTGCCTTAGTTCAGACGACTGATTACTCTTTCTCAATGAACGACCCAAAGAAGCGTTTTTGTTATCATGCTGATTGTCGTCACGTGTACGTTATCTCAGATTACCTTTCCACTTTTGATGTTCATCCTCCACGATCTCGACGCATAGATTTTATGCAACATGAACTATGACCATAATAATGTGAATCAGTTTCATTCCTTATTCTCACATGAAAGATGAAAATTCCAATTGTTGAACATGTTTTAAGACGATTATGAAGAATATGTGCCTTCTATGTTGATGTATTCGATACGGTGAGTAATTTTCTTGTTGTGATTGTTTCGTCTCTTCGATTTCTAATCTTCACATATCCCAGTGTATGTTTATTCTAGTGTGAATTGTGACGTGTTTGCCTCTATTTGATTCAGTCGTTTTTTCGAGATTATTTTGACCTCCAGTTTCAAGATGAGAACTTTCTCATCTGCTACTGTTAATGTCAACAACATAATATATAAATAATCGTCATCATCCTCGTTATTCTCATTGATAGTATCATTATTATTCATGTTAATTGCGTCGTTGCTATGATGTCAGATCTCTTATAATCACTCAATCCCATTGTATTTCAAACGCATTTGTTATTGTTAATCAGTTGTGTTATTTTCATTATAATCAGTGTTATTTCATTATTCTGTTAGTAATAATGTGTTTTTGCAATAATGAATAAACATTCAATAATACAAAACAAACGCAACGGTGCGACGAGCAATACTGATGAAACATCGAAACGACTCATCAGCCAGGAAATTAAAGGGCATAAATAATTAGCGTAAATCTCATTTGAATGTTTTTGGAAATATGGTCATGAAAATTCGACGTTAAGTTCGAAGAATTCGAACTTAACGTCGAATTCGAAGAAAGAGATAATTCGAAAAAAAAATTCGAATAAAGAGAATATCTACTTGCAAAGAAGTGTGCAATTCGCCTGATCTTAGATCAGTAAGTTGTTTAACGTGAACAGTAGGTTGCCCTGCATTTACAATTACAATCTTTATCAGCATAATAAATATTCCTTCCGCACAACTATGCTAGGTCATCTCAAAGAACTGCATTTATTCTGCTAATATCAGCGAAATTTTTTCAATTCTGCTACACCGAAAGTTTACGTCGATCATTAATTATTTGAACTGCACTCGATGTATTTCATTGTACTATGATGAATGAAGCTTTGGTTGTATTAGTTCAAGTTAACGATCACTGTGACTGATGGTTTGTGCATTTTATTTCTCACTCATTACATCAATCGAGGATATTGCCGAGCATTCGCGTTGTTTGAATGTGAACCACGTTCCAATCAGTGAAACCTTATGCATCCTTCATCACTATTCCATCATTTTAGGAACGATCCGAAGATGTTCGATAAGGCATAAATGCCTAATTCATTGACAATGTTCCATACAATATGCTCGCTCGATCTACATGCATGCTCATAGTCTTCAATTACTCTGCCACACCAACAGAGACTACTTGTTTAAAAATATATGAGACCAATCATGAATGGTCAGCAGTGGAAGAATGAGCCAATAGT